AAGGCTAAGCCAAATGGCACTGAAGTCAAAAGAAAGGCCCCTTCATTCTGAAAACCCCCAAGTTATATACTGAATAAGCTGTGTCCTGATTGGCCGAGAAGCTGATTGATGATGATGCAATACGGAAACAATGATGAAATGATGGACCAATGAGGGAGGGAGAACAATCAAAGTCAGGAAGTGTGGAACGTGTGGAACACACTAGGACATTACAATGGATATAGCACTCAGTTAATTGTTGTGTTTGTATGCACTGCAAACAAACAAATGTTTCTCTTGAATACTGTCAAGGAAGTAAGGTGTTCAAGCACACATTCCTTGAACTGTATGTGTAGTCTAAAATATTTGTTGAACACAAGAAAAGCTGAAAAATGGGAAAGTCTCAGACTTACTGCAAACTGTGATTATAAAGACCAATAGTACACTTCTAAGATATTACATTGGCAATCATTACGTAATGATATTCAACACGTGCATGTTTAACGACTATGGTACGAGACAGATGGATCAGGGTAATGCACCCCATAATTGCCTTCAGATGGCTGTTACAAAAGCCAGAACACACCCCTGAGGCAGGTACTGTGAGGTACCGTGCAGATGCCATGCATTCATCTGTGCTAATGATGGGAATATTACATACTAAGCTTGGGATTTTCATTTGCATCCTCCAAACAGTCCCACGATGTTACTGGACCAAAGTAAAGAGCCTGAAATCTTGAATGATCAAGGTGTATACTCTAATTTTGGAATATTTTATCCACCATTTATTTGGGTATTTTGTTATATTTTACATCTTATACTGTAGCTCAACAATTTACAACTTTGTGATTCTATACAGCTTTTTTTGTTGGGTAAATTATATTTGGGAGTGCATTTAGAGACTCCAGATTTTACATCTTATACTGTAGCTCAACAATTTACAACTTTGTGATTCTATACAGCTTTTTTTGTTGGGTAAAATTTATTTGGGAGTGCATTTAGAGACTCCAGATTTTACATCTTTACATATTTGACAATCTATTATTTTCCCTGCTTTAGGGAAAATGATTTCACTTCAACTATTATGTGAGCGGCTGGTCAGAAGATAGTTAGCAGTTGTTACAGAAAGCTAAGAACATGATGGAGAAAGTGTTCCTATAATATTCCTTATTATCGGGCCCACCTGTGCTTATCATGTATCATCATTCATTTGTGGATACTGGGCGCATCTGAAACAGCACATTGGGGAAAAAAAAAGAAGAAAGCAAATGAAAGCACTCTCACCTGAAAAAGTAATGTTAAAGCCTTCGTATGACATGGAGAAGTCGGAAACGAACCGCAGCTGTGCACTGAAAGTGCCGAACAGGCCTGCTTTGATGGAGGGCGGCAGGACAGAGCCAGTCAGCCTTGCGACAGGCTCCGTAAAGCTTCCGTCTTCCGTGATCAGCAAATAGTCGTGAGAATCCTCCAGGTGAAAGGTGTGAAAAAAAAGCTGTACTCCTGGAAATGTGAGAGAAGACAATTGGGGGGTTTGGGAACTCGCTGAAGCCATGAAGTAGACGCAGATTTATAATTCATAACCCTCCTTATAGCCTAGTAGTTAGTGTTGATTGAAACTATGTTCTGCCTGTCTTGGCTGTAAGTTTCAATCAACACTAACTACATGCCTAAGCACATTAAATCATAATTACTCTCCAGATTAGCTGATGATACAAGTGCAGTTGTATCATCTAAATGCAGCTATAAATATTTATGTTGCATGCAACATTCTGGAAGATATTGTCAATTAATTTTTATATGAGAGATGTTTTCATTTTCCTTCCACTTTTCTGGCAACTCTGACTGCATGGCAGAAATCAGTAGAAAAAGAATAAAAATAAAGCACTTCATTTTGTTCTAACCCTGCACATAATAAATGACAGTCAGTTTCAAACGCACAGTGTAAGAGGATAACATATGCTGACGTCTTCAGCTTTACTCCATCATCCTTTTAAAGGGATTTAAATCATTGCTCTTACCTTTTCCATGAGATACCTCAATGGTCCAAGTGCAGTTCAAAGAATTTGGATAGAAATCCGGAAACCCAGGTGACAGCACAGTACCACTTCTTCCATGAATGTAACCACCGCACAAAGCTTTCCAGAAAGAACACATAATATACAGTACAGAACATTGTAAGAGTTGAAAAGGAATACAAGCTTATCTACGCTAAACATGAGTGGAAACATCAGCATTTCATTTCACTATGCAAATATACTGTAATCTTATAATAAAAGAGCAGAAATGTGGATATAAGTAAAGGAAAAATATTATGGCAGTAGGAATTCAATTGTTATTGTTTCAAGCTGAAACTAAAAAGAAGTGTGTTTAGGACTGAAATCAAGGAGATTTTCTTTACGCAAAGAGTTATGGATGCAATGGGTCCAACCATTTTTCCTGTGTTTCTTCCTGAAAAGGCAGGATGAGATCCTAGGATAGGCTACTAGCATCCAAATGAGCAAAATGGAGCTAATGGTCTCCTCTCATCTGTAACTTTTTTTTTCTCCTTTTCTGTACAAGATAATATAACAGTCAACATCACAGATATTATCAAATATGCACTATATAGTGCATGTACTGTATATATATATATGCAGCTTCAGTTCAATTTTTGTACAAGTTGCATTAATGGTGAGAAACTACAACATTAAAAACATTTTGTCCATAATCTACTATATCTATTCTACATTTTGAGAAGTATATTCTTATAGAAACATTATCCCTAAGTACAGTCTTCCTGATAGGGTAAGGAATAGCTTACATACATGAAAAACTTTATGAAAATAGCTGAAGTGTATCCAAAAAGAAAACTTAATAAATAGTAAACTATTAACTAGTAAAAACCCCAAAACCTGCTGAATTCATCATTCATAGAGCATGATAAGAAAAGCAGAAACTCTTATTTGCAAGGTCAGAAAATGGAAAGAAAAATAATTTTATTCTACTCCTACACCCACCCACTGAGGAAAAAATAAAGCAACTGAAGGTGATACTAAAACTACTATTTGCTGTGTTGTCAGTACTTTCTACTTATTTGACTATGATAATGTAAGAAATTGATTAATAAATATAAACCAGTGAGGCAAAGGGGGACTGGGGAATGGAGTGTTGAATTGTTTTATTTGGTAACAAATCTAAAAAGGTAAATTGACTATAACACAATTTTATCTCGAATATTTTATAAGTTTATTTATTTTAATATATCTCTTGCTTAAGATTTCACACACCTAATGGTATGCATTTTCAACATTTTATATTTTATCATATCTTCTGTCAATATATCAAGCTGCATTATGTCTTGGGCTGTGGAATGATTGGTGATGACTGCACAGGTAATACGCTGTATAAATCACCATATATCCCAGAGGTATAAATCGTTATTCAATCACTAAGACTGTCTTCATGAAACAAACAAGCATCACTTAATTACAAGAAAGCCCACCAGGCGACTATGTGCATTTAGTAAGACTCATCCCCCTAACCTGTTCATTTCTTCAGCAGAAATGAATGGGACATTGGTGACATTCATCTTGTGTTTTATGTCATTTCACCCAATTGTTTCCCAGTGATTAGAATCTTTTGCTGACAGGCACTGAATTCAATAACCTCAACAAGCATTTAATTTGGAGCAATACACTGACAAAAAGTACACATGATAAACCTTTAGGATCCTAGCAAAGAAAGATTAAGATACTTTTCTTAGTAATTAGTGATTCTAGACATGAACGGTGCAGTCGTACAAATACCTAGGGGTACACCTGGATGATAAACTGGAGTGGACTGCTCACACTGACGCCCTGTACAGGAAAGGTCAGAGCCTATTTTTTTTTTAGGAGGCCAGGGTCCTTTGGTGTGTGTGGAACACTGCTACACATTTTTTTTGAATCAGTGGTGGAAGCGGCCATCTTCTACGCTGTTGTGTGCCGGGGCAGCAGCATCATGGCAAGAGATGTAAATAGGCTCATTAAATTCATCAAGAAGGCTGGATCTGTTTTGGGGCTGAGCCTAGACCCCTTGGAGGTGGTGGTAGAGAGGAGAATACTGTCCAAGCCATCATGAACAACGCCTCTCATCCGCTACATGGGACTGCTATTAGACAGCGGAGCACTTTTAGTAACAGGCTGCTCCAGCTACAGTGTTCAAGGGAACGTTTTCTTAAGTTCTTCCTCCCAGCGGGTGTCAGGGTGTATAACACTGCCCCAGGCTAGGACTGCTAGCCCTTCATCTGCTCATCTATAAACAGCATGTTGCACTCATGTACTTTTGGACACTGCATTGATATACTGTTTTTACTGTGGTATTTTCAATTTGTACCTACCTATGTGCATTTTGCACATCTTTTACTGTTTTACAGTGACTATTAACATATTTTGCACACATCTGTTTTTTCTAATTCTTTTTATTTTATTTTGTATTCTATATACTTATTTAATTACTCTAATGTTGTAGTTTACTTTTAATTTTAGCCTATCTCAATGTCTGTCTTGTTTGATGTCTGTCTTGCCTTTCTTGTGCTGGGCTGCTGTAACACCTCAATTTCCCTTCGGGATTAATAAAGTCTTATCTTATCTCTTATCTTAGTTTAGGCTTGTGTCATTGTAGTGTTACAGTGAGGAGTGAAATGCAGGGACATTTAGACACACTCTCTGTCCACATAGAGGGACTGTTTATGACAGCAGATGATGCTGACAAACAGCATGGACTCCAGAATTTAACACCTAGGATTTATGATACCAGCCCAAGACTACTGAATCTGAACAAAATAGCTTAAGTGTTCAGAAAACCATAGGAATGTTTCCTAGGTATTATAATATAAGTTCCTATACTGTCTTAAAACACTGATGTGAAAAAGGAATCAATGACCATCTCTTGCTCCAAGACACATTGACCTCAATCAGTGGCATGACTTCAGTGGGCTTTTCATGAAACCAGATGCTGTGTGCAAGTGTGCTTTTCTAAGATTTATGTAAATATTGCCCTCGCCATTGGTGAGGTTTAATTTCTTCTTAATCAGAGTATTTGAATGTCTACTCCCTGAGGTCACAAATAGTGCTGAAACATGATGTGCTCTAGGCAAGAAGTACTCAGATAGTAAGAGCAATGTTTATTTTGGCGATGCAATGTGAATGAAATTGCATGTAAATGACTGATGTGTGGCAGTATTATAGCATAAAGAATTATAATAGAAACACAGAACACCAGGAATAATTCTTCAATACGTCTTATGCAGGGTTTCTATGGTTGACATTTATATTAAAGTCAGAAAAATCTAAAAAATCTTTTATCATTTTTTTACACAGCGCTTAAGATGGGACGTGTTAGGAAATGGGGATATTCCCAATAAGTAACAGCTGCAGCTCAGACCTTCAGGCAATTGTCATTATTACCGGAGAGAAACGTTGGCAGTGAGTAATGTGTAACTGGACTGCTTATGGCAAGAATCCAGATTTTTGCAGGCAATAAAATGTATTGGTACATATACAGCATAAAAAGTGTCTGAATATGAGATATTAAAGTCAAATAGGAAAAGAAGTGATTTAAACGGGAAGGCAGAGATTCAGCTCATGAATCACCCTCACAGAGAATCATGCCCACTGCTGTCTGTGATGAAGATGACTGTAAGATATGAGTAGATTCAGCAACAGACGAGACATACAAAGGCCTTATTGGACTTATTTAAGCAAGGTTCTCACTATATACATAATGTAAAATACGTATACATAAAAGTTAATTCCCTTTATACATATAATACATTACACTTTCATTTCTTGTGAACCCCTTCAGCCAATAAAAAAATTCAATTCAATTCTAGGTTCTGTAGCCTGGTCGTGAATTGATTGAAGATATCCTATTCAGGCTATTTCCTCAAGAAAATTACTTATTTCTACAGAGCATCACAGAACCAGCCTCACTGTGCTTTTTTGGAACAATGGAGCAGATGCAGTGTGGAAGCAAGATTTTTTCATTAAGTTCCATGAAAGGGAATGAGTGTAGTCTCTGGTGACTCCACGATATTTTTATAATTACACTTTCAGCCTTCCAGAACGAGGGAATCTCACCATCGCAGCTGGGCAGTGCGTGGTTCCACTGATGGCTCCTCTCACAGACAAGAGGCTCTTCATCGCTGAGAGTATATCCTTGATCACAGCTGAATGTCACTCTGGACCCAATTGCAAAGCTGTTGCCGTGACGTTTTCCATTTACAGGAATACCGGGATCTAAACAGGAATCTGATTCCATCATGATGCCTGCAGAAACAAAGAAACAAATAAGAAAAGATGGCCATGTGTAGTATTCACCATAACTTAGAAAAGATGTAGGATATCTGCTACTGATCACGGAGAAGACGATAATAGCATAGTTTTAAAAATGAAGTAAAGCAGTAGATGGCTGTATTGTCTTTAGGAGTCGGATTCCTTATTGTGATCCGATTGCAAAAAACTGCAACAAAATTGAAGAAGAGTGTATCTGTAGAAACTGTGGCTCATGTCATTCCAGTTTTCCTTGCTTTGCACTTCTCAGTTAACTAGCTGAATTAGCAGAGAACTCAGTGTGGTCATGTGTCAGGAACATACGGCTTTTACTTACATTAATGTCACTCTAATTGGTACTATATGGGAGTGCTAAATCCACTAAATGTCAACATTTGCTGACATACCTTGGTAGAAAATAAACATTTGTTTATCAAGAATCTTACAGGAGTGCCTTTTAAATCAAGTTTTTGTTCCTGCAGAGTCATCAAGTACTGTATATAAATCATTGCATTGCAATATAACAGCATATAATACCCTTCATCTCAAAGACATGATTGCAATGCGTCTTCCATGACATTCTGTCATATGGCTGTCTGATAGAAATACTTCAATACACAGGTTATAAAACTAAACGTTTTTCCCAGAGGAACAAATGAGCATGATCATATTTGTAACAACAGATGAACTATATACTGTATAATAAGAATGATGTTACATTATTTTCTCAAAGCAAGATATACTGTTTTAAGAATGTGTATATTTAATCTAAACACTATTAAACATTAACCAAAATGTACATTTCCAATTATAAAACATCTTTGTGATAATAATACATTACAACTATTTTGTGTTTTCTACCAATTTATGTACAAAATTATATATTTTAAAATTGAAAGGGTTAAGGAATAAGTTATATACTGCTGGAAGGTGGTATTTGCAGATTTATTCTAATACATTTGTATATCTTGTTACTGTATAAAAATTGCAAGAGGAAAAAAAAAAACTAGAAAGTGCTTACACTTATAAAAATACCAGTAAAATCAAGAGCGATATACAATATTCTTTAAAACAGTGTCAAGAAAAAAGAAATCCTAACTTTGTTATTGGTAAAAAAACAGGCCATTTTCCAAAAGCCGTCACAGTGCAGAGCACATCTGAACTGTGAAAAAAATCCATTAGCTGATACATTTTTTGCAAAATAAACGGACGCTTTCAAATTCACTGCTTTATGATTAAGGAGGCCATCCTTTGAGACAGAACCTTCCTGTGACTGAGAAGGAACTCCAAGTCCACATCAAGAACTCACTTTCATATCGAATCTGGAAGCCCACGCTGGAGCGGCTGTTGTCCGTGGTGAACAGGAGGTACATGTGATTACTGGTGCTAATGAGGAAATGAGGAGCCTGAGTGCCATGGTATTCCCCTATTAATGGCGAGGAGTTAGCAGGCCCATCTCGGATCTCTAAAGTGTCATAGTTAACTTCAGTCTGAAACCTGAAAACAAAATTAAAAACTGTTTTTAAATGAGGCAGCCGATGGAAAATCCTTACAGTGTCTTAAATAATTTGGTTACTGAGTTAAATTCTCCATATAAACATCTGCTTTGTAACATTCAAACAGGAGATAGGCGTGTTGTTAAAAACTGCGGTTGCATCTGAATATTTGTTTTTAAACTGTTTTGTAACAAGCTTCTGTCCCTCCATTCTCTTTTATGGTAACTGCTTGTTCTTGTAGGAATTATGGCAACTGTGAGAGTGCAGCCCAGCCTGGACCTCTGGGGCAAGGAGCTGCTGCTCTTGGCCACGAGACCAGCTGCTTGAAGACAATTTGTCAGGTGACAGTTTAAAAACCAGGAAGGGGCAGCTTTCTGGGTGGGTCAATCTGTTTTTTAAAGATCCCGTTATGACATGCCTAATGGGCTGTCACAAAACCCAGACTCCATCCCCAGAAACACAGGGCATACGCCAGGGCTGCTAGCATATAACCACTCTTGTCCTGGACGGGATCTGTCTGTTGCAGGACCACAAAGAAAGGGGCAATTTAGACTAGACCATTAAACCTAGCTAACGTGTCTGTGGGAAATTGGAAAAATCCAGTGCCTCTAAAGAAAACACACATAAATATTGGAAGAATAATTTAATCGTTACACATATGGCACCCCAGCCAGGAATTGAACCCAAGATTTAAGAGCTGTGAGGCAGCAACACTAACACCCTAAATTTCCCTTAAGATAATAAGGACCTCAGGATGTGCTACTCCACTATATCCATGTATTAGAGCCATTTGTCACTTCACATACTGCCAGCTCCACAGTGACATTCAGGAGAGTTATTGCCAACTGGGGAGAAATACATTTCTCATTCATAAGAATGCCCACAGAAGTACAGAAGGCACCTCCCAGAATGCCCTCTCCATATTGGCAGCACTCAGCCAAAAGCACACTACTGCTAATTACATGACCTGGGCACAAACCAGCAAAGGAATATTGTAAGGCTTTAATTTCATGTACCAGTAGTGCATAGCAAGAACAAAAGTGAAATTAGATACCTTAATTGCTCGTAACCAAGACTATCAAAGTCTTGTCCTATTAAAGACATGCAGCTTTTTTCACAACATACTGTCTGCGATAAGTTAAAATTGACGTATGCTATGTTTTTTTTTTAATACAGAGGAAACAAAAAGGTTAAATAAGATAATTAAGACCTTTCAAAGGATATTTTGATGGCATGGTCCTTTCTTGCTTCAATGACCCATTCGCAGTTTAATGAGTCCTTATAGTACCCTGGCCACCCGGGGGACAGAAGGACGCCTGCTGGGGCTGTTAAATGACCACCACAAGGGGCTGAAACCGAACAGAAGAAAACACAGTGAGGATGATGCTGAGTATTCTCCGCCACTGCACAGCATGACTTCAGCATTTCAGCTCAAATGAGCTGTTTTAGTTCAGTCATGCCGTCCGCAACAGGCATTGAGGGACCCAGTGAACTGGCTGAACTCGAGACAGCATGCATACATTTTAAATCCAGGCACCCATCACATAAATAACAATAAAATGCGAACTTCTTAAAATATTTTTTAACGACCCACATTAATATAATAGTAAATTTAATTAATAATACAGTTATTGACCACACATATGCAAATATTAATGTGATTATTTTTTTTTCTTGATGACTAGTGTTAGAAGAATATATATTTATTTACCATCCTAGAGGAATTGAGAATTTATATTCTCATTCATCTCTTAATATTAAAATAGTCATTGGGGTTTTTGTTTGAACTTGTACATTTTGGTACACACACTACTTAGAAAAAACATTGTTAAAGTCAGCATCAGCTACGTGTTTTAAAATAATATTAATTTAATTTGATACGATAAAAATAAAAGCACAAAAGCAAGAACAGCTTTTGTTACAGTTCTACAGCAAATATTCATCATGAGGAAGTGTACAAAGGATGACAAATAGAATCTAAAATGGTAAGTTGGGTTTCAAGTGACAAAACTTGTGTAAAATTTTTGTTATTGTTTTAACTGGAATTTATGATTGAAGTTTGGGAGAAATACAGATTCCTGTTTCTGCCAATCATCAGCTCACTAGGGTATAAACAAAAGTTTTTAGACCAGCATTTCCTACATTCACTGTGCTAATACGAAAGCAACAGTTACTGTATCTAGTGTCACTCCTACATGCTGCTTTCTATAAACTTGACTGAACAATTGGCCACTACTCTACAAGCTGTATTTCAGCAGTGCCTGCCATCTAAACCTGTCAATGCTCCCTCATCGATGACTTTGTCCTGCTACGTCCTGAACCCATTGAAAAGATTTACAAGTAGTGTATCAGGTGGCAAATATAGGAGGCAATGGCTAGCTGCCCAGACTCCTTAACCTATGTTAACCTTAAAATAACAAAAATAATCCCTCCAGACTTCTTCCACCTTTTCAGACCAATGGATCAACAATAATATCTGAGGCATTTTGCAGATGTGATGGAAATTGGCCAAAGTCAAATCTGCCACAAAGTATTATAATTATCGAACAAAGCAGTCGTGACCAAGTGTATATCCTCACTACTCAGTATGGAGACTAGCTTCCATCGGATATGATACTGGAAGTACAGCCTGATACTAAAACAGCCCTGCCTTCTCTCTTGTGTGAAGTTATTTGCTATTGTCATATCTATTAGACATGACATGTAAGAAGTAAGATATTATTTCTTAAAGATTTCTTTAGAAGCACAACCTACCACTTTTCAAATTCCACTATTACACATGCCATTATCTGCTATGTGACTGTAGCATTAGATATTTAACATTGTAATGATTGAAGAGATTGATTTGGATGAAGATATCCTTGTACATTGTCTCTAAACAAAACACAATATAAAAGTCTATGTAAATAATATTCCTCAATCAAATACCTTGCTATACATGTGAGTTCCTCCATAAAAGATGTAGTAAATTACTGTAACCATCACATATGTTTACAGTTTCTGAAGAGGAAAATCCAATAACATTCTGTAATTATAAAAACCTACCACAAAACCCAAAGGCACTTTCTGTAAAATTATACAAGCTACAGCTACATTAAAACAAAACACATCCTCACAGGTTAGCTCTAAATTCCCCTAGTGGTCTCCCAACACCAAACAAAATGAACATACTGCAGTTTTCCTTTACTGCATATTATGTTTACTTAATAGTGTGAAAATACATATCTACCTTCACATCTAGGGACAGCTGAATTCCAGACGACATTACCATCCTGCATCACACATGTTATTGACTCAGATCCTTGCGTTTTTATAAAGCCTTCATCACAGCTGAAAGATACTGAACTCCCCAGTAGAAACCTGTCACCGAATCGCTGGCCATTAATGGGGATGCCTGGGTCATGGCACTCATTCTGCCCAAAAGCTGGAGAGGGAGAGAGAAACAAATACAAACTCTCATTAGTTGACAGGCAGAAGCAGAAACAGTCTTTTTGTTGAACCTGCATTTGTACTTTGAATACTGCACCAGTGCCAAGACTTTCTTATTGGCTGTTTGTTTGTTTCAAATAAAGCAAGGAAACCTCCTGAATTTTGGAAAAATCAAAAGTTGGAGTGGAGTTATCTTCAAATGTCCACTGAACTACACTACAATAAGTAGTGATATTCGACAACAATGTAGACCCGGACATTTTGCTAAAGCACTTAGAGAGAGATACTTTGTATAAAGGCACCACAGCAGTACCCCAATCAAATTCTGATCCCATAATTTTTCCAAATCCGAGTTCAGGGCTCTATTTGCAAGTCTACATTGTTCCTTGTCCTGTACATTAGGCCTAAAAATCATACACATTTTTCACAGGCACAATGAAGAGCAAAAGTAAACAAATTAGGAATACAGCAGTACAGCTCTAAAGTAAAGGACAACAACCTCACAAGTCATACAAGTTCTATTTCTGATTACAGTAGGACAAACATGTGCTTACAAAACTGTTACAGTTCTTTCAAAGAAGGCCAGCAGTTTTATACTACAGCAGAAACAATTTGGTATACTATAGTGAGTGAAGTGAGTGATTATGGACAGTTGTAACAACAATGTTCATCCTCTTAAGTTCAACTCAGTATAGTATCAGTGTAATTCAGCACAATCTAGCTATTCCCACTTGCAAACAGTCTTGATCATTTTATATTTGTGTGTGTTTATCTACAGTATATTGATCAGTAATGAGTATTTTTAACGCGACTGTTGCAGGCTTGGACTTTTTGATTTTGGATAAATTAAAAGAATATAAACATACACTGCAAGTATAAAAAGTGCATAGCATGAGCCCACAAGAAATAGTTACTTTCTTATACTAATGGAATGATATAACTCTTAAGCTAGTAACAAAAAGTGAATATAATTTTGCAAGGGAGCCAAAATCCTTTTGAAAGTTATCCTGTTAGTGGTTTTATCACAGTGTGCATTAGCTTCTAAAAGGACTGAATGTTTCAGAAGAGAATTTGTTAAACAAAGATAAGGACATTTATATTTTATGGGCTGACCTCCTTTGTTCGAGGTAACAAGAAAAATACATGCACATCACAACAGAAAGACAAAAAGTATTTCAATAGCTCGGGAAAAAACAGTTAATTGTGGTCACTTTCTCTTCTTCTTCTAAGTAATTCATGAATGATGAGCAAATCAAAAGATGATAATGAACTTTATTTTTTGTGCTAAATTGAACGGATACACAGATTAAAAGTAACTGTTGGCACAGAATTGGCAGTGAGCAGTTTTGACTGGTTTCCACTTATGGTTGGCTTTTAGAAATGGGAAGAGTAATGTTTTACAATTTGCAGCTGCTTTCTGATGCTGAATTTCAAAAGTAAAATATACATTTATTTTCAACTATAAAACTAACCAAGCTTGGTCAGAATCTATAGCTAGCAATGCTGAACCATGGGGTTTTGACATTAAAGAAATGATGTTTGGGAGCTATCACAATCTTTGATGCATTGCATCAGGTTAACTGGGTATCTGGGTTGTGTGACGTTTTCAACAAAGCGTGAGAAAGTGAGGCTGAACAGACAGGGATTATCCTTTCATAACATAAATAAAAGGGAAAACAGTTTAAAAGAAGATCCATGTTAATCTTAATGTCTCAGTTTTTCACCAAGGGAGACTACAAACAACTCTTTGCATAATAATATTCAATGGAAAGCAGTAAACTCATCTTGACAGGCAGCTTACTGACAAAGTACATGAATTCAATGGTGGATTGCCCTTTATTTATCTTATCTTTGAGATTATTCTGTTATCTTTAAAATATGTCGATTTTTAAGCATTTTCATTGTAATGCCTGCCATAGCACATGAGGTGAAAGACAAATGCATATAACCTTCAATCAAAATAATATTTTGTAAGCATATATCTATAAAACAACAGTACTATATATTAATCTTAACAAATTCTACCCTTCTGCAATGACAGATTGCAAAAGGACTGTATGAGTTCGCAGCATTTGTCTCATCATCATAATTTATTCACGCAACTTTGAACGTGTTAAATGAGCAAAATGTCAGGCTCGCTCCTGTTGGAGCTCTGAGGAGCTGTCACTCAGTGCCGGTTGCCAAGGAGATGCATTCTGACAGGAAACCTGAATCACCTGTGAATAATGTACAGCCATGCCCGCCTCAGGTGGATTCAGGATAGTTAAAACCTGCACTGACAATCCCTGGGGCTCTAGTATAGAGTCTACTCTCCAGCATGTGCTCAGATTCTCAGCGTCCTCTTTGCATTCTCTGCTCATGTAACTCTTGGACTCCTGTCCCCTCTTCGTCTCAACCTCAACTTTTGAATCACACCAACACTCTGCCTCTAAGTTTCAGACTTTTAGAGTTTTTCAGGACCTGGATTTCCTCAGTGCTTTGCTACAATGTCTTCCCTGCTTTGACCTTCACAAGTTTGGAAAATGACACCAGACCGTGCTTGTCTGCATAACGTGTTACTTGTACTGTACTTTCAGCCTGCTACCACACCACACTACCTGCAGCTTCCCTTTTGGCCTCTGTCTCGCCCTGCACATGGGTTCACCTTACAGTATGTCTCACAGCCATTGCTTAGTTCCACCTTAGGCAGCAGGTATGAAACAAAAACATTGGGTTTGTATCTGGTGTATATAAACAAACACAGTATATGCACATGCATAAACACAGCAGTTTGTTTTACATCAGATAACAAGACAGGGAAGAACAATATGAGGCATATTTACTTGTGTATGTTATGTTGAATCCTCTTCCTGTGTTGGAGTGGTCGGACTGAAACTCCAAGCGCATGATATGACCATTGCTGGCAATCTGTGAAGGAACATCTTTGCCAGAGAATGTTCCAAATGTAGTTGCTTCAGATATTCCTTCGTCCTTCACTGTTAAGTAGTCAAATTGGGGCTCCACGTCAAAATCACTGAAGATCAGATGTATTCTGCTACCTGGCTCTGCAATAATCAGCCATACACAGTTCATGTTGTTTCCATACTCATCTGGGTAATTGGGAGACAGGATGATCCCCGACGGAGCCGTGAAATTAAAAAAGCAGGAGACTGCACAAAGGGAAGAACATAATAATCTGTCACTGGTTTGCAACTGTTTATAGGAACTTTACATTACTGCTATATCTGCATCATTCCCCCAAAGACACTATCAAGTATAACTGAAGACCCATCCTTTTATTAATCAATTTATGTCTTTTTATTCTGCAACAAACTTTTGAGTAGGTGTACAGTTAGCATTTCTATCCCTCTGGATCTCAAAGAAACCCATGTTCTGATAATTATAACCCCTTCTGCATGAAAGAGACTAAAAGCCATAACAAAAGAGCTACTGCTGCAGGTATCACCGAACAACAGAACATCTGGGATTCCGAATATCTGCCTGATTAATTCGATCCATTTTCAAAAATCCAAAAGTGCCCAGTAGCAAAGCAGAGTGCTAATAACACTATATACAATGAGTGCTCCTGGGCTGATAATGAAATGTCTGACATCTGTATCCAACAAACTATAACACTAAAATTACACCTGTCTATTTTATTTATTTACAACCTAGGGGCATATCTAATGTAATTCTATCATGAAAACTTGATCTACATAACACAACTGACTTACCTGCAAAGGGCACTGTGCCTTTCAACAAGTCAATCAAAACAGTTTTTATAGTACCTGTCATCTAACGATGGTAGATGCTTGCTTGTCTAATCGTTCATTCTCTATGGCAAAGCTGATTAATTACAGTAATGTATTTGAAATAACTCTTACAGACACAGCTGGGTTTGTTTCCAGACCACTGGTTATTTTGTTGGCAGGAGATTGTCCTTTCTCCGACCAATTCAAAAGCTGCCTGACACTCAAATGTCAGCATGTCCCCATGCAAAAAACTGCTACCAGTCCTCTTCCCATAGGCTGGAACTCCAGGGTCCCCACAACCACCTTTGTCAATTTCTGAAACATAGTGAGAGACAAATGAATGGATTGGGAAAACTTTACAGAAATGTCCTGCACTACGGTACAAAAGAGTTGTTACAGTATTTGTATGAAACAATGTGTAACAGTAGAGCTCAAGATTAAAAGGCAGTGTTTTTTTTTAAACTGCTCTATAGAATTTGGAAAGCTTGACACCAACACACATACCATATCGTAAAACAAATTAAATTAAATTACAGTAATTAACGACTAGTTGAATATTTGGCGTGTTTATGCTGGTAAGAGCCATTTAACATTATTAATTTGTTTATTATTGTCAGTTTATGCAAATTAGGTAAATGTTAATTTGTACAGTATTCTGTCATGGAAACGCAGCTTCCATGTCAGTAAACCCTATTGATAAGTCAGAGAAAAAGGATGTCTTTTTTTTCTCTAGAAAAATATCAAAAACAGAAACCACATTTAAGAAACTAGCAAATACAAAAGACCACTACAATACTATGTTAAAATTATAGAATCAGTAAGCACTGATACAGTACATACAGACTGCTTAATATACAGTAAACCTTCGGCTTAACTCACAGCAAAGTTAATGGACAAAACCTGCTAAAGAGGAATTTTGTCTGTAAAATACCTGACTTTTCCTGTCGTAATGGACAGTGCAAAAATAAGAAAATAATAAATAACATCCTATGAACAACATACCTTTAAATAGGTCTAAAAAGCAAAAATGTCAATTTTGTACAATAGGGGTAGGTTGATGTCTTACAATGAGTGTTGCTGGTATTTCGTATGGTTCAGTGAATGCATGTAAAATAGACAAATAATAAAACCAGGTAAAAAATAAACACTATGTAGGTTTAATTCAGGAATAATTGATAGAAAAATAAGTCAAAAGAACTAGAAAGCTTCTTTTTCAACTGAAAAACATTTTTCATGATTTATCATGAATGATTTATCATTAGGCATTTGGCAGAAATAGACACCCCTACCCCATAACAATCCATTAACTGTAGTGTAATTGTTTCCTGTAATATAATGCACAAGATAGGGCATATTAATTGAACTTTACTGACAGCTTTTTGTTAATAAAAATGTACAAGATATTCAACAACTACAATAACTTGGTCTAGATTTTTTTTATCCATGACAGATTTATTTTCTTCTGTTTTGTAATTTGTATTTTATCTTAATGTTAGATTTTTTTATATTACTGCCACCTGCTCTTTAAAAGCATAGTTGCGTAAGAAGATTACTAAATTGATTGTTCCTTGTAATTATTCACCATGCCATCATCAGGATTATGTGGTTATAGGAAGCACTTGAATGCATCTTTAAAGATTCAAAATAAATTGAATTCCATTTTGTCACCTTTCATATAAACATGGAAGCTGTCGTGATTAATGCATACTCTATGGGTTAAACACAAAGGGGTAGGAGGGAATAGAAGTGTTCTTGCTCTTCAGGAAATTCAAGGTGAATTAACAGCAGATCTACAAATCATGCTTTGCCAGGCTTTAATGAATTTCTTTGGTCTCTTGGTACTCTATAGTTCCATGCTTGAGGAAGCTTTTGGCATCCTTTATTAAAAGATTAACAGGAATTAAGTCACTTGTCTGTGTCAAAAAATGCAGAGCAAGATTCTGATAGCTACCTAAAACCTATTAAGAACTACAGTACATCTTCTGCATGTTGTAAAAAGAACAGAAGCTTATAAACTTACCATCACATGGGAGTTTTTCAAAGGTTTAGGAGCAGACCACCAGACACAGTGAGCTTAGATTTGTTACTATTTTTTTCTTCCATTAAAAAGCAGAGCTTAAAAGGCAAAGCTCTTAGGAGTCTTCAAAACAGAAATGCCAATGTCTTGTCAGTAAACAAACATTTTATATTATCTCAAAATGTATAGGTCTGAACATTTCCTTAAACGGAATCATAATTTCAAATACTGTATGTATCCCAAGGGTAGAAATGGTTGATTTTTTTACATGATCTGAGACAGAATACAACCTAACATTAACTGTGGTTTGAAATTCAATGAAAGGTCAGGGCAGTGGTCTATATCCTAGGGTTTTCTGTAAAGGATAATACCGGTACAGCAACGGCACCGAAATTTCAAAACAAGACGGAGCAAAACAATGTAGGACAAGGCACTAAAACTCAGGCCTCAGCGCACTGCGCCCCAGATGATCCGTTTGATCACATTACGATGGATTTTATTAAATTAACACCATGTAATGGATACAAGTACTGCCTGGTGATCGTAGACATGTTTTCTAGATGGGTAGAAGTTTTTCCCTGTAAGCACGCTGATGCCAAAAATGTGGCTAAGCATCTACTCCAGGATGTCATTCCCCGATGGGGAATCCCAGGAAAACTTAGCTCGGATAATGGTACCCGCTTTGTGAACAGTGTCATTACCTTTCTGGCAGATCGCCTGGGTATTGATTTAAAACAGGTATAAATTTATGAATCATACTGTTAAGTCAAAGAAATTGAATGTATCTTGTTACATATGCACTGTAATGCCTCTAATTATGGAAATTAGTAACTGATCCTCTTTATATTATGGATTATAATATAAATAATAAACTATTACAATAATATAATTAAAATAAACTATGATTAAAAATGTGTTTCATTGTAACACAACAAAATATGGAGTGAAATGAATAAGTACTAGAAATAATTTCCAGAAGATATACTTATGGAAAGTTTTCACAAAAATAAGGTATTCCAATGTTTTGTTGGCCAGACTTGTCTGTGAACACCAAAACCTTTAATTCTGCCTCCCATGCATTAAAATGATCGATTACACTTTTTTTTATAGCATTCATTTTAATTATAGATACGTTATTTCTTTCCTTTGCATTGTTTCTGTTGATTGTTGACCAGAAGTATCTCATTCCGCAATATATTTCTATTTAAACTATACCTTTGCCATAGACATAGTGACAACTAAAGTCAGATTAATTTCTGAATACCTTAAAAATGTTCAGTTACTTCAGTTCCTCAGAGATCTTCACCATCTAAATGTATGTTGCCAGTCTAGTCTTTCCCTCTGTTTTCAGAGGGAAAATAGTTTTCTAAGAAGCCCCTGTATTATACAGTAACTACAGCAAACATGTAAATGGTTCCCTGTTCTCCATTCTATATAAATTAACAGTTCATTAGTGTTGACTGTTTTTTCTCAAAATATGAGGATCAATTGTAGAGCACGAGAAACATGATTGTTTTGAGAATATGGATATTTTTCTTAAAAAGGATTGTTGTCAAGTACTTTCAAAATAACTACTTTTGCTGTAGTTCTCCAATAAAATGTCTTATGTTGACATTTCAGAACAGAAAATATTAACCATCTGCATTGGAAGGTCTTCAGTTCAGACGATCATTAATAATCGGAAACACATGAGGTCAATAAACAAATTAATGACATCAGAATCCAGGTAAATCAATTGTAGCTGATACTGTATCTTTTTAAATGCATTTAAACCTCATTAAACTTTTGATAAAGAATTTATATAAGACAACACAATCCGTTCAAATCAAAGTACTCACAGTTGATATGTATATTGTTTCTATACGATAATTATGTACTGTAGTATGTTGCTTTCAAAAGCATAATGCTTAATTCTCAAAACATCCAAGAATCAACCACAAGTCTATGGCTTCTCACTGTAGAAGACATTGTGTTTATCACCACCATCGGTTTGGAATACACTGAAAAATTCAATGCCCTGATATACAGTACGAGAGAGCTAACATTTTGATATTAAGTTTGTTGAGTCTAAAATTTTCATTCTTTTGAGTAACACGAAATAACATAACTTGTGAACCCTGCCTGATCTTGCTTTGAACTAACTGACAGAATTGCAGTTTTGCCCAGTCATAACCCAGGTCAGCCTAGCCTAATATTTCTCTCCTACCGAGATCAGCTCTAATGAAGATTGTAAACCAAGTGTGTTCTGAAATTGTATTTTTATTGAGATAATTCAAATAAGTAAATTCATGTAGAGCAATGAGCTGTAAACCAGCAGGAGTTTTTGGTTTATGTTCCCTTGAAACTTGAAGAAATTCTGAAAAAAAAATGTGTTCAGTTCAAGTGCAGGTTTGGATAATTGTTACTTCTTTTGAAAGGATCAGCAGTTAATACACTTCACCATGGCCGTTTCTCTGATGAAAATATTGCCAAATCATCTGATGTCTTGCTGATCTATCACATTTTGTTTGTCAAAGCGTTCCCTTGTCAAGTTACATTTTGATTCTACTTACTCTGAAGTACTTTTCGATTTGTAACAGGTATTCTGGTCCTATGAGCCCTCTGAATGCAATGTCATCGCCCATGTCCTGATGCACTCCATTGGTTTTCATGTATCTGATATTGTACTGTGCAAAGCAACCAATGAAACTGATGAAAGGGCTCTTCCTAATTACTGTTAAATACTACATCTGTTCAGTTGCACACTATACTAATTCCAAAGATACACTCACTTTAAGCCAGTTTCTCAGAACAAAATAAGTTTGATTTCTGTACTTAAAAAAATGTTAACACACAAAGCTTTGTATTTCAAAGAATGTAAACAAAACCCAAAGCAGCAAAATGAGATTTTGACCGTATATTTTCTCTTTCCAAGAGAAAAGCACCTTAAAAACACTCACTGCTCCTCATTCATAAAATGTGTATGGCCATGTCAAGTCACTGGGGCATTCTTTCTGAGGTAGAAAACAACACACAAAAAAGATGAGTATCTTTCAGCGTGCAATGTAACTATGTAACTATGATTAGTTCAAATGTTTTTTGTATTTCTAAGATTAAGATTTTTTCTTCTTCAAAAAATTTAATGACCACATTTCATTATATTCTACCCTGCAGTGAGAGATCACGAGCTTTTGATCATAAAGACAAGAGAAGAACTGAGGGTTGATATTGTATTACTCTATTTTTTTCTACTTACAGTAGATGTCTTACCTTCAATGTATCTGTTAATTGCTGGACAGGGCTTGTATTGAAAAAATAT